AAGCACCTCCCTTGCATCCAGGACCCTCCAGGTGTGCAACTGTACATGCAGACAGGGACCCTGCACAAGGGGGGTCACAGTCTGCCAACCTACAGATGCGCCAGGGGGTCAACTTCACTGGAGAGCTTCCACCTCCACATGAACAGGTTCATCCCAGGTAGGGGTTCATCCCATGTTTTTATTTTAATATAAGTAATATATGTAGAAAAAGAAAAGATCCCTTTGGAAATATGGTCCTTATACCTTTGTGAGTTGATACAACAAATCCAGACCAAAGTCCTTGTTTCGGTGAAGAAAGATATATTTATTATAATAGAGAAACTCGTGGGTCTCCTCTCCAAGTACAGAGACAAAAAGACACCAACTATCTCGTCACGCAGACATTTAAACTCAACACCCCAGCTCTGAAATGTGGGCAAATGGCTGAGACCAGATAGTGGGTTGTTGACACCTTGAATATTTCCTGTTCACGCAAGACCCCCCATCAACACAGAGGACAGGATCTGTTTTGAAGCTGGGGAATGATCTTCACACCCAGCTCCCCTGATACCTTAGCACCCCAAAATGACATTATGATAATGATCTGCCCTAGTGTTTAGTAGGTCTTATGTAAACAGGAACTTACAGCATGAAAAGGACACATGTTGTTTCCCAACAATATAATGTATTTATTTTAATATAATAAAATTTACATTTCCCCATGGATCACATGGATCATTGTATAACACTATTTCTTTTTTTTTTTTTTTTTTTCTTCAGGAACTTTGGCCAGTGCCACTTTCTTTCAGGCCTACCTGGTGGATGGCCTTGCGAGGTGGAATGAGGACAGGGCCATGGCAGCACAGGGGAGAGTGATGCCCCACTCATACAGTGGCCTTCTCAGGCATGCTGCTAACCAGCTCGCCCAGGAGGTCATGGGAATGAAGCTGGTGGACTACACAGGGCCACAAAAATATACAGGTAGACAAAAGTACTTTTATTGTATAAATTAAATATACTTGAATATCATGTTTTCTCATGCATAACCTTTTTTCTTATTGTTTTGTGTTTTTCAGGTGAACTCATAGGTGTGGAGTACTTGTATGACCAGACTGGCAGTGCTCTGGAAGACTACAAGCTCACTCTGTCAGCACTGGAGACAGAAGAGGTGACTGTGGCAGAGGATGAGGGCTATGTGGAGCCTGTGGAGTTTGAGGACTTCACTGTCCCCATCCTGGAGGAATCTGATTCACCTCCTGCTACCACAGCATCCAGGGCCACATCCAGATCTGTCCGGTCATCCTCTCTCCTCCCCACCTGTGCCACCACAGTTGTCACCTCTGCACCTCCTGCTCTTCCTGTCTTGACTTCTCTCCCCACATTGACCACCACCACAGTCTCCTCTACAGCAACTGCTGCTCCTGTCCCACCATCTGAGGAGTTACCTGTGCTTGACACCAGCTGTAAGCTTTTTTTAAATTATTATTATTATAATTATACAACCATTCATTGATACACAACCATGCATATTAAAAAGTTCTTTTTTTTTTTTTTTTTTTTTTTTTCCAGTCTGTTCTGATTTACACAGCTCCACGTCAGGATCAAGAGACCAGGCATCTGCCTCTACATCTTCTGGCCTTGATGTAAGATTTCACTCTCTAAATTACTCTGATTTTAAAGAACAACTCAAATATATTGTGCTTTTCTCTAAGTCCCTAACTTCAATTTCTATACGCTGTATTCGTTTAGGACTCTGTTGGGCCTGACAGTGTTGCAGGGTATGGGGCTGTGCAGGCGTTGGCCGCCTGCCTCTTCAACCTCAAGGACCACGGTCTTGCGCTGACGCAGGAGGAGTCCCGTCACATAATATCCCTCTGGCAGGATCTCAGTGATTTTGACAAGGGCAGGACAGTGTATCCTCCACGTCACCAAGACACCCTCACCAAGGGTCACTTCAGGGCGACCAAGAAGCTTGTGGCACCAGGCGTGGAGTCCACAAGACGGTATGTTGATGTGATTTTTATTGATTTACAGCATTTGTGACAAGACTCGTTGTCAGGTTTATTTACATGGTTTTTATTTTTCAGGTCCTTTGTAGGTTCCAGCAGCCCGGCCCAGTGGCCTAACTGCAATAGGGTTGTGGAGGCAGTCTTTGTGCAGTTATGCATGGCCTTCACCAGTGGGAAGAAGACCCCAGAGGGCACCCGTAGCAGGTGGACTCGGGTCATCCATGCGTACAAGCAAATCAGGGAGTGCATCCTGAGCAACGCGCATGTGATGACAGAGACCACCATCCAGCTACCGGAGGTGAACACGGCGACACTGGCACAATGGTGAGTAAATCAATAAATGTTTATTAGTATGTCTGCAGATCTGTACAACATATAGACTGGTCAAAGCAGGACCAGGACACTTTTTTTTTAAGATTGATTCTTAAATCCATGTCTTTTTTTTTTTTTTTTTTTTTTTTTTGTCTGTTTAGGTACAGTAAGCGGACCCGCTCCCAAGAGACGGATGTGCTGCAACAAGCCATCTGCACTCCTGAGGCACCGGAGTCCGGACCTGTGGAGCAGCGCTCCACAATGCAGAAGGACACCATCCTGTCTGTCCCCACAGATAACCCACATGTTTTTGTGTTGCCAAAAAACACTGCTGGTAAAGCAAAACTAAAACTGCATGTGCCAACATCTGTTCCGGCACAACAACGCCTTCCTGGAGCACTGCAGTCTCTTCCTGTCCTCTCCACCCCACTCTCCGCTGGTCCAGTGCCTCTCCCTGCAGTGCCAGTCTTCCTCCTCCCCGGACCACGTCCAGAGGGTCCCTCCAGTCAACCTGCACCTAGGCTGATCCTTCCTGCCAGGCCATCCACTGCCACTGCTGGATCTGCACAGGAGGTCGCAGTCCCGCACAGCCAGGGGACAGGGGTGCCATACACCACTGAGCGCTACAGGAAGAGGAAGTTGGAGAAGGAGAAAGCTGGCATACACTCACGCAGATATGTGAGAAAAAGCGAAGTCATTCTTTGCAAGAAGTGCCAGAAAAAGAGAGAGCCACCAACCCATCAGCAGTACTTTGGCAACTGGTACTGTGAGGAGACAGCCACTGTACCACTAGCTGAATGGAGAGAGAGCCTGGCAGCCAAAGGCTATGGGAAAAAGAATAAATAAATAAATGTAATTTATATATATATTTTTTTACAGTTTATTATTTGATTTAATTGTATTTTAATTTCTCCAATAAAACAATACATTGCTTTAAATACTGTTCTCCAGTGTTGATTTAAATTCCCATTATCACCGACAATAAGTACTATATCAACAGTACACTTAATATAACAGTGTTTGCAATACTTTCATTCAGTTTAACTTTGGCATCATGTTTTCTTTACTGAGATTAGTTTAAAAAAAGGTCTCTAACACATTCTGAGATGATAATGGTTAAGTCGTTCACAGGAATGTGTACTGTTTGTCTTATGGCATTAAAAGTCTTGAGTCATTGATGATCCATTTGCTTCTGAAAAGATAAATTTGTATGGGACAAAGGTGAGTGTGAATAGGTTACCATAAAAAGCAGACCCATAAAGGTCCTTTAAATGGCCATTCTCTGAATAAAGGGGTCCATCATGAATAGGCTGTTTTAAGGTGAGTGACCTATTTGAAGGCCCAGTGTAAAACATTCATTGTATGACTATTCATTCGAATAGCCGACAAAATTACAGTACATTCTTAAGGGCAACGTGATTCCATACGTTCTTGCCACTCAAGACATGCGTCTTTCCATATCAATGCAGCGAAAGATTTTATGTCCAGTTTTAATTAATTCAATACCGAAACAAGAACTGCTGTAGGCCTATTCTATGAACGTTAAGTGAAAGGTTGCATTACACTGAAAAAAGGTGCGATAATTTAAGAAATGTCTCAGGGATTTTCACTGGTAACAATTGAATGGTAAGAAGAATTTATATAAAATGTAACTCATCCTTATTCGCACAGAAATTGTATGAGCGGATGGCATGGCATTTTGTAATAAGTGCGTATTTTATCATTATAATAATCACGTCAGCCTCTTCTGCGTAATTTAAACTAAATATTTAAGCCGAAGACGGGATTCGAAACGGGTCGGAACGTGCATTTTTGGTGCACTTTTAGGAGCGCAACCTCTACACACAGGCGCAGGCCTTGGCGCAATGGATAACGCGTCTGACTACGGATCAGAAGATTCTAGGTTCGACTCCTGGCTGGCTCGTTCTTTTTTAAAGGCGGTGCTACATGAATTCTAACTTGTGGCAAAATCAGTAATAGGGGAGTTTGATCTCTATATAATCTGAAAATATAAACATGTCCAATGTGATTTCAGTTAATTGCTGATTCATTCCATGCGTTATAATTTCAGGTGCACAGCATGTATTCTTTATTAAGTAATATTAACGTTTTTATATTTTCCAGTTTTGGACACTAGGTCTTTGCTTGTAATGGGCCAGTAGCACAATGGATAACACATCTAACTACACATCAAAAGGTTCTGGGTTTGACTCCTTACTAGCTCATGTTTTTTTAAAGACAATGCTACATGAATCCAAACTTGCAGCAATTTCATTTCAGCAATATTTCAGGAAATACACATACCTCCAAGTTTATTTCATTACTGATTCATACCGCCCTTAATTTCAAGGCACAGGGATTTTTAACAGGCTTTGGACAGTAAGCAGCTGCCAGCTTCGGGCCAGTGGCGCAATGGATAACGCGTCTGACTACGGATCAGAAGATTCTAGGTTCGACTCCTGGCTGGCTCGTTCCCTTTTAAAGGCAATGCTACGTGAATCCTAACTTGTAGCAATATAAGAATAGGGGATCTCAGACTCCAAATAATCTGAAAATATAAAATATGTCCAATGTGATTTCAGTCAATTACTGATTCATTCCATGTGTTATACTTTCAGGCGCACAGCATGTCTTCTTTATTTAGTAATATTAAGGTTTTTTATATTTTCCAGTTTTGGACACGAGCTCTTTGCTTGTGTTGGACCAGTAGCACAATGGATAACAAATCTAACTACACATCAGAAGATTCTAGGTTTGACTCTTGGCTGGTTCATGCTGTTTTAAAGGCAATACTACATTAATCAAAACTCGTAGCCATTTCATTTCAGCAATATGAGAGTAAGGTCTCTAAAAACCAGTAAATACTCATACCTCCTGTTTTATTTCATTACTGATTCATACTGTCTTAAATTTCAAGGCACAGGGAATTTTCACAGGCTTTGGACAGTAAGCAGCTGCCAGCTTCGGGCCAGTGGCGCAATGGATAACGCGTCTGACTACGGATCAGAAGATTCTAGGTTCGACTCCTGGCTGGCTCGTTCCCTTTTAAAGGCAATGCTACGTGAATCCTAACTTGTAGCAATATAAGAATAGGGGATCTCGGACTCCAAATAATCTGAAAATATAAAATATGTCCAATGTGATTTCAGTCAATTACTGATTCATTCCATGTGTTATACTTTCAGGTGCACAGCATGTCTTCTTTATTTAGTAATATTAAGGTTTTTTATATTTTCCAGTTTTGGACACGAACTCTTTGCTTGTGTTAGACCAGTAGCACAATGGATAACAAATCTAACTACACATCAGAAGATTCTAGGTTTGACTCTTGGCTGGTTCATGCTGTTTTAAAGGCAATACTACATTAATCAAAACTCGTAGCCATTTCATTTCAGCAATATGAGAGTAAGGTCTCTAAAAACCAGTAAATACTCATACCTCCTGTTTTATTTCATTACTGATTCATACTGTCTTAAATTTCAAGGCACAGGGAATTTTCACAGGCTTTGGACAGTAAGCAGCTGCCAGCTTCGGGCCAGTGGCGCAATGGATAACGCGTCTGACTACGGATCAGAAGATTCTAGGTTCGACTCCTGGCTGGCTCGTGCTGTTTTAAAGGCGATGCTGTATGAATTCTAACTTCCAGCAATTTCAGTAATAGGGGAGCTAGGACTAAAAAATGTAAACATGCCCAATGTGATTTTAGTCAATTATTGATTCACTCCATGTACTATCTGGCACAGAGCATTTCATCTGTAGTTTGTGATATTGACATTTTTGATATTTTTCCATTTTGAACACTAAATATTTGTATTGGACACTTAAATTTTGATTCACACCAAAGCTTGTAGTTGGAGGCCCAGAATGTTCTGTTGAACCTTTAAAATGTTGCTGTTTTTGTTTTCAGAAGATTTAATTTCAGTAATTGGGTATTCAGTCTTGTTTCATACTGAATAATATTTCTACATAACAGTCAATTAAATGCATGATGTGAGAATATTTAAACGAACATTTTACATAATCATCCTGGGTTTTTCAACACTTTCAGTTTACATTAATGGATATATCTGAAGACATAAGATAAAGATGTCAAATATGACAAATGTAAAATATTACAGTATTGTGCAATACATACCCCTTTGTTGCTTATTGTTTCAACTGTGTCTTTTCCTTTCACAATTTCATCTTCTGAACTCCTGGCTGGGGAAATTGACATAGGAATTGAATGAAGACACAGTTTTATATATCCTGATACATAGCAATGAGTAAGCAAGGGAAAAGGTTATTGTTCATGTAATCATGAATTTATGCTGATGCTACTGAGCAGAGCCTTAATACTCCAGTTTGTGATTGTTTGAATTTGTAAATTATTCTGTAATTATTCACTCTCCCCTCAGAGAATTTTTTAATTAATTAATTTAATGAAAATGATTATCGTATGCCATTTTTTCCAATTAAAATCATTCATTAGTTTCACTTCAAAAACAAAACCTAAATACATGGCAAAAACTTTTGCCATACACGCACATGCGCACGCACACAAACACACACATACATGCACACAGTCTTGATACATGCTGAGCGGAATTTTTCAAACTCAGTCACCACCGTTCCATTATGGCTTGTTAACACACCGTTCACTGTTGTACTTACAGCGCCTCCTTCTGTTTCGCAGAGCATAGGCTACAGCCACAACACTTATTACAAACAGAAATGACACCAGACAGGAGAGCGCAATCACTGTGTGCTCATCACTCCGTAACCTGACAGGAAAAAGAAACACAATGTCAAGAATAAAGCCATCTGAATTTATATGGTTCAGGGGTGGGCAGCCATTATGGTTTTGTTTTTAACAGGGTGAATAAATGTATTTATTTATTTGTTTGTTTGCTTGTCTATTCTATCCCGCTCAGATTAAAAATCTCTTCTGTTGGGGAATCTTGATCAACCGGGGGTCACTTCTCTGTTGTGAGATTTTAATTTGAGTCCACACTCTCTGGACTGAATGCAGACTGCAGGTGAATCCTAATTTGCGGGGTAGGACCCTCTGGCTGGTCATAGAACGGGCTGGTATACATACAAAAAACAGTTAACAGTGTAAAAACCATTTTCAATCTACACTCCTTTGTTGCATGCATACCACTAGGTGTGGACTGTACAATGTTATTTATGATATATGCTAAAGCACAACATTTTAATTGCATACTTATGTGAAATTCTTATCACATTAATTATTGGATAAGATTATTAGACTGCCTGTTCTTGGAGAATCACTCAGATCGAGACTCTCCATGGAGCTTACCTGAACAGTGATGATAGACATGATTCTAGACCAATAGGTGCACACACAGGGACGGCGTCTCAATGAGATGAACCAATCAGACACCCTCCTTCAAAATGTGTGCAAGATATTGTACTAAAAGTGTTACATTTAAAATGCATGCAAGGTGTTAGGAACATTTTCATGAACACGATTTGTTTAATGAATGCTGTTACCCAGGTGCCAGGATTGCTTTTGTTGTTGCTGTTGGTAGTGCTGTTGTAGGTTGCATTGCTGTTGTTTGTGCTGTTGTTGTTGTGGTTGTTGCCACCGTAGTGGTGGTAGCTGTATTTACACATGCACACATAAAAAATTTTAGTTGCAAAAAATAACAGAATATTTACAAATCAGGCAAAATATTTGGAGGATAAAATGTCGGCCAAGATCTGTAGCCCATGATGCATTAAAATGTCAATCAATGCTTATACGTTTTATAGGTATGTTATAAAATGTCATTGTAACATCAGATTTATTGGTTTATTTGATTTATTTGGTTGATGTGAAAACCACCTGACTGGACTCTTTCGTCATTGAATGACCACTGTCTTTTGACCTGTCAGGCTGGAGATAAACTTTTCTTTTTTTTCAATTACAGACACACATGCTGTCAGAATTGACACTTCATGGATAATGCAAATTGGAGAGAATTTAAGCTATTGAAATTCTCATTTAGGAATGTAAAATATTATATGAAAATCATATTTTGGTCGTACAAAAAAAACTGGCAATACCAGTTACTTAGTACCAATGTGTAAATGTTTCTGCAAATCGGTCCAAATCCTGGCCATGATACGTTCGTTAACGTATTTGATTAAACAAATGTACAAATAACTTACTTGTGGATGACGTGCTGCCCATTTTTTCATACAATTTTAGTAGTCTGTGAAATATGAAATAACAGTCATTATGAAATGGGAAACTACCAACTAGACAAGAGGAAGAATTACTATCCATAAGCATACACTGCAACAAATAAGGCAGACCTAGCATTAGACACACCTCACAATAAATCATGCATGTGGATTGGGTTGCATTAATGAATAATGAGTGGCCAGTACGCTGATGTGATTTTTTTTTCTTTTGGAACTGTTTCCACATCGAAATCACATGACATTTGTTTTAATTCTTTATTTGCATTTAGATGCTGTTACTCGTCATCTAAACGTTTTTAAAACCCTGCTAGTCTGATATTTCAGAAAACTCTATTTCAAATTTATGTTCATTTGAGATGTCCTATAATTACAGATTGCTCGGTTTTAAATCTATGTACTGTAGTGTTCTACGGTTCTGTAGAGCTCCCGGTCAAAATCTTGTCTTCGCTTCATTGTGCTAAGTTTTTGCTAGAAGTGCTTTCATACTGTTTTTCTCAAACGCTCTCTTGCTTCCCGTGTAATATGTTCCCAGGATTTGCAATGCAAAACAGTAAAAATTTCCATACATATTAGCCGTGTTATTCATACATTTGTATTCGAAAACATGGGGCGAAAATCATCAGTACCGATCACAATTCACACTGTGAGCACCCGCACTAAACAAAAAGAATGTAAGTGACGACGATGCTAATCTAACATTACTTCAAACAAAATCGTAAACCAGGATGGCTCATCCTAAAAAGGAGCGTACAATGGATAATACAAAAGAAAGCATTAACCGGTACTTACCCGCTATGTGGCTTCAGAAATCCTGTATTCACCGCAAAACTGAGTTCACCCTCCTCACCAAAACTACAAACTTCTGTCACAAACAGTTATGTCCAGACTGCGTGTAATTCAGCAAGTCTTCCTCGTTTTTGCTTGTAGTGAACCGTCCACCGAGGAAAACGGATGTGGTTGGTGTGAAACTAACGTTGCATGATTTACAACAATTTCGGTTGATTCAACTTTATGATCTTACAACATGAACATCTGAACTTCCTAATGATTAATAACGTTCCCTGTGTATCAGCAACATTTGGATCAAGGACGTTCCGCAACATGACTTATAAGTTATTGCTCCCCTATACATCAAAATCGATAATCAAAATTTCCAAAAGGAGAATTTCAAAATAAGTGTCCAAAGAAATCAAAACATGTCACATCACTTTATTGTTATCTTTTAAATAAATTTAAATACAGCAATTTAACAAAGTAAAGTTTAGACCAGTACAGTATGTGAAGCGAGACCCAGATAGTCAGCAGTTGTCGTATATTGTAGTCAATTTTCTTTTACTATTCCTGTGTGGTACTCTTAATTAATTTCAGATAGTTCATAATGTAGAGTTCTTGCTGAATACCATTTATCAAAGCAGATCCTGAAGTCTCTCTAAGGAGTAGTTACCTCAAGATAACGTATCAGTTATATAACACCACTTAGTAGTTCAAACAATAAAATCAACATACTGTAATGTTTAACAATCTCTGTATTTCTGCTGTTTTGATAATAATAGTTTCAATAACAGCATATTGGAAAATTTG